TAATAATAATAATATTGTTCTTGTAGTAGAAGATAAGGTACAAATTTCTGCGCATCTTTTCTCAACTTACTACGTTACAAGTAATAATCTAATATTTATTTATTATAGTTTTCTATTAAATTATTCTATTGTATAATAAAATGTATAGTTGGTACGCGCCTTGGGTCATAAATTAAATATTCGTGATGAAACGGGACAATACAGAAAGTATATGTATTAAAAAGGCAGTTTATACTTCTAAGTAATTAATTTTATTTTAATTTATATTATGGTTATTTCTCATTTATTTTCTTATAAGTTTATTTTATTTAAGTTTTATTATTTAATAATTATTATAGTTGTAATTATATTTTATTGTATTAGTGACTATGCTAAGATTGTGTAAGTTAATTGAAAATAATAATAAATGATTTTATTAAGAAAGTAATGTAATAAATACTGATTAAGAATATTCAATTTCTATAACGAAACTAGATCTTTAATGCTTAAATAATTCAATGTGAATTGTATATATAATATATATGTACATGCATATAATATCATATTTGTAGCTATTCAAACTGCGCGCCAAATTTTCCGGACTTACAAACACAATTAAACTGTTGGAATAATATTACAAATTAAATTGACAAACAAATTTTTAATAATAATTTTGATGTTCAATCCAATATCATATTAAAAGAATGTTAAGGTGCTGGAAAACTTTTAAATAAATAATTGAAAATACTTTTCGTGTGTGTCACCGTTATTTCTTGTATAATCCTACTATTTTGTATGTGACTTATAGTATCCCGGGTATGAGGCACCATGGGTTATTTCTTAAAAAAATGTTTTTATTTTTTTCTTAAAAATTTAAATAAATATTTATTAAATATTAAAATACTTATTAAATTTTAAAATATGCATTATGTTTTAAATAATAAAAAAAATGATACAAAAATTTTTATATTTAGATGTACTTTTAAGAATTTGAATTTTTGTGACATGATGCCCGTCTTCCCTATATAATTTCATTAAAAAAATTTTAGATAACCTTGACCTGACCTTAAAGACATCTTCTCCAGATCAACCAAAGTCACTATTTCCTTTCCCTCTTATAACTGAGCAATTTTTGTCTGAAATATTTTTATTTTAAACGTAAGGATTTTGAGATACCCTATTGGATGGATTAAAATGGACCACTCTGTGTATATGTGTATATACACATATAATATTCTTGATACATTTTATTATTGCCATTATCATTATTATTTATTTTTTAAACATTGTATAATTTATATTAAATTAGACTATTTATTCTTAAATGTGAAAGAAAAAGGAGGAGGAGGAGATAATCGTATTTAAGGCTCCTGTTCACTTACTATTACTATTTCAAATTGTGACGTTAGAGGCAAAGAAATTCATACAAAAGTTCTTGCAGTGTATAATATACAAAAACATATTTTAATAAAATACAATCGATAGAACCGATTTGTAAAATGTACCGAAAATTCTCCTTTTATTTCATTCGTAAATAAATAAATATATGTATAACTGTAAATGAATTCTGCATATCTAAAAATGAAATAAAACATATTCATAGTTATAACAAATTATGAAATTAATAATATGTAGAAGTAAATATGATTTATAATTTCTCTCGAAGCAAGAAAGTTTTTGGTATATTTAATAAATATATTCTATTGATTGCAGATATTATTTTATTGAGAAATATTTCTATTTAAATATAACTTTTATTAAGAATTTTTATTTTACGTTTTCTCATCTTTATTGTGATGTTACAATCTAAAATTATAGTGGTAAGTGAACAGGGGTCCTAATAAAGTGATTAAAAAGTGCGTTGTTTTACTTGATTAATGTAAATTATATATACTTTATTATTATTCATGCTGATTATAAATGAGTATTTGTGCTGTTAGTTTGCATCAGGACATAAATGTATAAAAAATTATTAATATTGTTAAAGGATTGTCTTGAAAAGGTATTACGATACACAGAAACAATACACGTGAAAATCTTTGTAGAATATATCTGTTGAACAATTCATAGGAGATTACACTGAATAATAGAATAAAATATTGTTTACTTATAGAGAGTAGAAAAAGGAAGAGAGACAATATAAGTTGTAATGGAAGCAAAGTAAACTACCGAATCGCTTATCGAATATTTGCTTCTTTTACACGTTGCATTCTAATGTTAGCGAAACTTACAGTTTTCCTCGTCCGACGAATCATCAGGTCCACAATTATCTATGTTATTGCACCGTAGCGACTCGTTGATGCAGTATTTACTTTTACTGCATAGAAATTGGTTCTCGCAATCTGTGTTCGTGCTCACTTCGGTCCACACAACTCGAAAGCCTTGTTGCCCTACTGCTTTATCAGCTGATATAAAACTGTAAATATAACGTGAGAATTTATTAAGAGTATCTTACTGAAAGCTTCATTGTTCATATGAAGTGTAACAAACCTGAGTCGCATATTATGATCTTCCGAAAGATAATCCCATTTAGTATTAGGATCTTTGACACCACAAAGCTCACGAGGAGAAGAATACCACATGCGTAACACGGCTGCAGGGCAACCTCGTGCTGAAAATAATTATTAAAAAATTAATAGTGTATTACAATTTGAATATTAAGTATATGATATTATTAAAGTAAAAACAACGATACAAGTATTAATATAAATTAATACATATAAGTTATGTTAGAGAAATTGTGTTAGAAGTTGTATTAGAAAAGTTATATTAGAAATTGTAGCATGACAGAAAAAAGTTGCTCATGTAAAAATTAATCGAAAATAAAACAATAAAATTTCTCCATATAAGAATTTATTTTCAAGAAAATTTATTTAAGAATTAAAAAACAGCTTTTTATTTTGATTTGTTAACTCATTACAAAATAACTACTTCTTAGTTTCAGTAGAGAAAAACTTATATATATATACATGTACTGGTTGTTTCAGATCACTCGTATCGGCCTTTTATTTTTGTAGGAGGTCCAGTAAAAGTGTTCAAACAAAAGTTGTAGGGTTTGAAAAAAATCTATTTATTGATCTTATCAGTTTGATTTTAGGTGGCGTCGCTAAGATCAGGTCACGTTGATTATTTTAGGTGAAATACCTTATTTTTGATTCCAGAATCTAATAGGCGATGTTGAGAGCTTTCCAAAACACTATAATAAAATTATTTTTTATTAAGTACTTCTCAATTATAAGGTTCGAAAGTTACAGTACCGCCAGCATTAGCATTACGCTAATGGTGTCCGACCGACGTGACGGTTAAAACCTCTTGAATGTTGTTCAGGATCATATTCTGAATAACATTTGTTCAAGATCAAGATCATTGGAAATTATTTCTCTTATTTTCATTTTTGCATTAAAAATTCATTTTTACATAGAAATGAAAATAAGAGGTATAATCTTTAATGGGGGGTCTTTATTTTGACAAATGTTGTCAAGAGGTTTTAGCCATCGGTCGGATACCTTGCGTAATGCTGTAAGGTACTGTCATTTTTAAGTCTTATAATTTTTAAGTCTTATATCAAAAAGTACTTTATTGAAAAATAACTTTATTATAGTGTTTTGAAAAGCTCTTGACACTATTAGACTCTGGAATTAAAAGTAGCGTGTTCCATTTAAAAAAATCGATGTGACTTTAACCTGACCTTGGCGACGCCACTCAAGATCAAACTGATAAGATCAGTAAATAGATCTTTTTGAACTTTACAACTTTTGTCTGAACACTTTTATGATTGGACCTTATTCTGCGAAGATAAAAGGATGGTGGTCTGAAATACCCGGTATATATAAAGGGATCCTAAAGCCGCCTGTTTTACCGATTAAATTGTAATTTTTGTACTTTGGAAATTTATTTTTAATTGGCATTTTGCCTTTAATATATTATATAATTGGCATTATAATCTTACTATACATTCACGTTATGAAAATAATTTTCTTTCTGTACGCGATAAAAATCCATCAATATACATACGCAGAATATTATCTAAATATATTATCTAAATGTTCGTCGCCATCGTTATCTCTTATTACGAAAAAATGTGAGCAGAAACGTGCTGCGTGAAGAATCGAGTGCATGGACGGGAATGGATAATATACGTATAGAAGTACAATCATAATTATTTCTGAAAAATGATATTTTGGAAAGTAACTTTTTTCATATCAAATAATTTGTTATTGAATTTGTCTTAAAATAATCTTTTATTTTATCATTAAAAAAATCTTAATTTGTTTTAAAAAAGTTAAGTGATAAGGGTTTTATAAATAAATAATTTACAAAAAAATTTTTTTTTTATAGTTATAACGTACTTATGAAGCCATTCAATTTTCATTGTGTTAAACTTTTTCTATTCCTTATAATTTCAAATATATTCGCTTTGAAAGAAAAAAACCAAAGGAATGGTTTTTTCGAAGGGATGCTTCACTCCCTAAAGGTGTATATGAGTACGTATACAAAAATACATATCCCTTATTTTTGTCTATCTCTTTGTTAGCTCAACAAAGAACAACATATTACAAGTTCGTCAAAATCAGAAGACACTTCAATGTGTTTCCTTGACAATATTGAAACGCTCAATCTGATTGTAGTTGCAAGCGTATCAAAGTCTTCTAATAAAATATATAGTTTAAATTTCAAGAAATTCTGACTATTCTCAATTTGCGAATGTACTACTTTAAGAATAATATACACCTATGTTATAATACTAATGTTATAAAATTAATTTATAATAAATCATATATTACCTAATTGATCACCTTCTACGGAGAAGACTTCAAAGTTTAAGAGTATTCGCTGATCCGGTCGAACTCTTATAAACCAGTTGCAACTTTTACTAGCTAAGTTTTTTGCCGGTCCATCATAATTGCTTGGGAAATTTGGACTAGTTATTATACCGTAATTTAGACTACTAATATTTGCTCCACAATCTATAGCATAATGATTTAAAAAAATTAATATCACTAATAACAAGAGCGTAATTATCTGAAATTAATATTATTTTTCAAATCATAAAGAAATAAAAATCATTTTTTAATTTAGAAAAAATATTATTTCCTAATTTAAAATAAATATCATTTTGTAATTTAAATTACATAATATAAACGGAATGTTTAACGAAAGTTACGCATGAAAGACTTTAAATTTAATTCCTTTTTCTTTACTTGTTCTGGTAAATATCCTATTTAGAAAAACTCTTTTAGGGGAACCCTTTCCAATGACCTTGACCTTGACGTATGTTGTCAAGATCATGACCATAAATGACCTTAATCGGTGCTCGTGCTTTTGTTATTAACAAAAAAGTTCAAAAAATAATATCCCTTCTTTATCATATAAAATAAAAATTCTCTGCTTTAAAATATCTCTTACGACTTTCCATGCGAAGCGAGTTCCTTCCCTGCTAAGGGGCGCACGATTTTCCACGCAAAGCGAATTCCATCCTACCTTCCTCTCTGCCAAGGGAGGCACACGACTTTCCACGCGAAGCGAATTCCACTCCACCTCCCCCTCTGCCTAAGGATGCACGACTTTCTATGCAAAGCGAGTTCCATTCTATCTCCCCCCCCCCCCCCTACCTAGAAGCGCGATATTTTATGCGGATGGATCTTATTTTGACTAAAAAGTCACTACGTATATGAAGAAAAGTACGACATAGCTAGTTCTTAGTATTGTATCTACTAAATAGAAAAGAGAGTTTATTTTTTAAACTTTTTTTGTTAATAACTTTTTGGCGAAGGACGAGCACCGGCTAAAACCTTCTGAAGATCACTCATAATCTTGATAACATATGTCAAGGTAATGTCATTGGAGAAGACTTCCCTAAACAGGATACTTACCTTTGTTCTATTACAAAGAGACAAAGCATATAAGCGTACCTCCAAAAATAGATTTAGCGATTTCAAAAGTATAACGCGCTTTGAAGCCACTGTAGACAAGTTCAGAATCGGAATGTAAGATCACTTTTAATCCAAGAGCACCGAGATTTGATTCTACTGGGCCCGGTGCGGTCCCGCCGCAATACCTTCCTATCAATTTCTCCGTATCGTCTCGGTACATATTATAAATTTCTAGCCAATCTTCCTGGCAGAGCTCGTATCTGATAAATAAACAGAATTAATACATAACGTTATAATATAGGGTATTCCGAGATTATTGAAACAACGCTTATTGATACAACGTGAGTAGATAGAGTGGACTAAACTGAGTCAAAAAGTCCATTTTACATTTTTATCAATAGTTAATAAAATATTAATTTCTAGAGAAACGCGTATTTAGCCGGCCACTGCCAAATATAAGTATATGGCGAGACATAAAGCTTGTTTTTTTTAGCTGAATTTTTGCACCAGTTCAACTTTCTCCCTCTTCTTTTCTCCAGGAGAGGAAAGAAAGATGAACTGTACATAAGTTCATAAGTTCGACTAAAAAGAACAGGTCTATATCTCCCAGTGTTCAAGATTAGTGTTCAAGATATTAGGCGCGCAAGTTTATTAGAAACAAAGCAATGTGATACAAACGATCAGCATGTGGCGTTGGACCCCTTCTCTGAACTATGATCATCATCCATTTTTTTATTAAAGCTAAATTAAAGAGATTATAGTTCGTTCGAGCCAGGTTCGATCCCAATAGGAACTAAAATATTTACGCTCGTGTCTCCTCTCGGAAAAAGCCGACAACCAGCCTTCTACCCACAGAAATATTTTTCGAAAAATCGTCGATAAATCCGTTCGGAACCGGCATTAAAACTGTAGGTCCCATATGTTCATGTGGCAATTGAATAATCAGCGTGCGCACCACAAGCATATGAGAGATATAACACAGGCTAGAGGCCTAATGTAAGAAGAAGAAATATACTATAATATATTCAAATTATTATAATTTCCGTTTCTACTGCTATTTTTACAGTTAGGAGCACGACACGTTAATAATTGATGTTCTAAAACGCATCAAGCCAATAAACAAAATTTAGTTCAATTTCTAGGTTAGACATCGATTTTCGTATGAATTTTATTTCAAATAATTTCGTAAATTACGAATTGTCACAAGGTCAGTATTAATCTCTTCTTTTTAATATGTAATACTTACTTTTATACATTCGTTTCATAAATTTTTGGGCTCAAACGATATCGTGGGATATAAAGACATACAAAACAACTTTTCGAAGCACGGAAATGTCCCTCGAATGGCGACCAATCGGCAGCTGCACGCGTTGTCTCATCCCTTACTAGAGGATCTCTAGGATTTGGTAGTGGACCGATCGAATACGCGTTTCTTTAGAAATTAACATCTTATTGCAAAATGGTACAGGATTTTTCAACTCGCAAGGGAAGTTACCCAGATACCCAATTAGTTATGAAAAAGTAATGGTTAGAAGTTATAGTATTCTACCTCCTATTAATTAAAATGAGTGCCATTTGCTCGGAAAATTTGATATTTATTAGAAAAATGGATTTTAAATCCGCTGTAAGGGGTTCCCCCTTGTGAAAATGAGTTTAAACATTTTTTTGTAATTTTTTTCTACTTTTTGGATTTTTCTACATACAATGTAAGTAATGTACATAGAATAGAAAGGAAAACTTAGGTCTCGATTCCAATGATGAATGTTGATCATTTTTTAATCTATTCCTCTCGAAGTTTGAATTGCATTTGGATATGATGTACTTATAAAGTTTTATATATATATATATATACAATATATATATGT